CTGGTACCAGGGCGAGCAGCATGAAACTGGCGAAGCACAACAGGTCGAAGTGAAGGAGGAATGACCACATGGTCTTCACACATGAGGCAGGAATCCACCATAGACAGCAAGAGTTGATTGGCGACAAATGGCGACGCAGGTGAGATGATGAAGATCACCAGTTAGAGAAGAGGTGGGCCAACTGGTTTGCACAAAGGAGATAGTTTGTCGAAGCAGGGGATCCTGTCCAGTAGCGCGTCGTATGTCGGAGGCAGTTACAGGAATGCCTCGAATGGCGTCCGAAAGTCGACGGCGCACCCTGTCCTCAATCGAAATAGCAGCAATCACAGTATCTTTCTAGGGTCCCTGATGATTACAGATGAGGCGGAAAAGGGCGTCAGCCTCGCCCAAGTCAGTAATGCGACAGCAGCTGATAGCAAAATCGTAACCGAGAAGAATGGTTGCCCATCGTTGAAGTCGGCTGGCTGAATAGACTGGGATGCACTTCTTCCAACCGAAGGTAGACAGTTACGGTTTATGGTCGGTCAACAGAGTGAAATGCCGACCGTTCAGCAGCTTGTGGAACTTCTTGACGGCAAAGATGATGGCTAAGTCTTCTTTCACGATTTAACCACAGTTCTTCTCGGCAAGGATTAAAGTTCGTGATGCGTGCATGATCGCCTTTTCGGACCCGTCGGGAAAGTGTGCGAAATGACGGGATCAACGCCACGAAGATCGGCACTGTCAGTTCATAGTGTGTGAGCAGCAAATGTGAACTCAACATCGACTTCAGCTCGACAAAGGCCTTTTCACAGGCGGGGGACCAGCACCAGGGAGCATCACTCTGCAGTAGATGGTTCAGCGGGGCTCGTAAGTAATACAGAGACTGCAGGAAGGCGCTGTAGTTGCTGACTAGGTCAAGAAACGATCGAAGTTGTGATAAATCCTTGGGTGCAGGCATCCGTTGGATGGCACAAATATTTTCGGGATCAGGATGGCGACCACTGGCGACAAAAATGAATTCAAGGTACTTGATGGACTCAAGAACGAATTGACACTTGAAGGCCCGCAATCGGAAGCCATATTCCTGCCGCGTTCAAGTACTGCGCACACTCGGTCTTGGAGCTCAGCCGGAGAGCGACCCATGATGATGTCGTCCAGGTACCCAGCCGTGCCAGGAATGCCGGAGAGTATTACGTTCATAGTTTGCTGGGACAAGGCCGGAGTGGTCTTGACATCAAAGGGTAGCCTGGTATACTAGGAGAGACCACGGTGTGTTTTTATTGTCAGCGATTCGCGCGACTTTGGAGCGACTTCAATCTGCAAGTACGCATCAGCCACATCCGACTTGGCAAAGCAAATCTCACCATTCAGCAGGGTGAACAGGTCAGCGGGGACTGGCAGTGGATAGCAGTTCGGCGTCAAAGTGGCGTTGAGACCGGTGGAAAAATCGGCACAGATACGAATCGAACCATTTGGCTTCTTGACCACAACAATGGGGGCAGCCTAGGTGGAGTAGGACACAGGTGTCATGTCTCCAAGCCCCTCCAGGCGCTTCAGTTCAGCATCGACAAGAGGCAGGGCTGCATATGGAACTGGTCTCTTTGGGCGGAAGACTGGTTGACTTCCAGGACAGAGATGAAGCGCGGCGTGCGTGTGTGTGCAACGACCAAGGCCGTCTTGGAACACTGAAGCAAACCGCT